TTAAATACAGCACTCACCAGTTCATTGATGTTTACCAAAGTACCCTCTCCTTTCTGTTTCGCCTCCTCCACTTTGTTTTCTGTCTCTTCTGGTCCACTTTTTTCCCCACCCTTGCCCTGCAGTTACCATAATTGAACAAATTATAAATCTGCTTCCAGACACCCAATGACTGTACACGTAGACTCATGGTAAAAAAATTTAAAATTAATCCAAAACTAATACGCTATATTTCACGTACATGTGTACACAGACCATAGCGTTAAAAAACAACTCCGAAATTTACACTCACCACATCTTTCTCAGTCTCTTCACATTGAGGTAAACTTGTCTGCTGTTGCAAACCGTTTATTTCTCCATCAATCTCTTTCCGTGTATCATCAGTAACAACCCTATTGATTGCTTCTATCCCAACATCCACCTCAACAACCTGAACAATTAAACACCCAAAAAAAAATTTCAAGGCACCAGAGTGCTAGCTTCAAATCACCGTTAATCTATGATTGAATTTTACCTCAATCATGTTTCCTTCTGCCGCGTCACCAATTTCACCTATTAACCCTCCAACCAGCTTCTCCAGGCTCGTGGATTCCTGAAACCAACAGCAAAAAACCACAAAACAATATGAGTTACGCCAAAGGAGAACTACAAAATCCATTCAAATATACACAAAAAAATATATCCACCTCTCGCCCTAGTCCCTCATCTGAATCCTTTGTACCAGTCATCGACACATCATTCAAAACATCATCACCTTGATTCTGAATTCCACCTTCTCCTTCACCCACACTTGGAAACAAAACAGCTATCCCATCCCCATCTGCATGAACAACAGTGTCACTTGCTTTCCTGACGTTCCTTTTTTAAGCTTCTGTCTTTTCATTCCGCTTCTCGATGCCACAATCTGTTTCAGTTTATCTATCTTCTTCTCTTGTTTCTCAGTCACAACTTTAAGCTTTACAACCTCTTCGCATACTTCCTCCAAACGTCTCTCAATTGCTTCTTGTTTCTCCCTATCGCCAATAACCAGACGTTCATAGTACTCGCTCATCCTACGCTGTTTAAGCACAGGTTCACCATCACTTTCATCTTCATCCTTCAATTTCCTTTTCTTTTTTTTTCCCCGCATCCTCGTACAGGAACAGCGGTCCACCAGCATCACCGCCACCCCAATCAGCCTTCGTGAAACAATAACCTTCTTCCAACAAACGTTTCATGTTCTCCACTTTCTTGTCATATTTCTCGTCAAAAACTCCCCATCTCTCCACCTGTTCCCCAGTGATTTCCATCATTGGTTGTACCACAAGCTACAATACCATAAAACCAAAAAATAGTATCATATAACCGTTGTTAAAAGACCAAAGCGTCCACGTGAACATACAAAAAAAAGTGTCCACATGGTCAATGAACGCATAGTGTCCACATGGACACAAAAGCAACATCCTAAAAAACTTTTGGCATACTTTCGTAATGGACGTAAGTTAAAATTCATTGTCCACACAAACACATACCTTCAAGGAGACTCGTTTTAACTTACAGTCTAAATATCATTGTCCACACCTAACTCAATATCGAATTTACTATAAAACTGTCCACATCTACAATTACATAACCTAAATGTCCACGCGATTTCACTTAATGACCACCCAATCCTGTAAATCATGCCAGTCAATTATATAGCTAAACCATGTACACGGAACAGCTTACCCCAGGGTTGTTTTCTGCTTTGTAGACATCCATCACATTCAGCCCTGCATGGCGTGGCAGCCCTTTACCCGGGTATTCCAACAAGGTTGTCTTCTGATCACCACCAACCTGTTCAAGCAACTGCGGTATTGCTTGGAATGCCACTAATTGCAGTGCCAATGGAAATCCAAACAGCTTAACCGATTTCTGCCTCAACTTCTTGCATAACTCTCCATTTGGATCTTCACATTTCCCCATCTCCTTCGGCCCTGGTTTCAACGTGCTTAGCGTCCACAGGAATGACTCTCTCCCCCAAGGAAAATTCAGGAAATCGTCCAACTCTTCCAACATCCTCACATGTTTAATCCAAGGTCTTGGTTTTTGAGTTGACGCCACTAGTACCCCGTCTACTATAACAAGCAAACACAACCTAAACTTTAGCCAACCAGGCATATCTGCTTCTGTCTCCACCCTCACAAGCAGTTCCTCAATGGTAACATCCCTGTTCTCACCAATAATCTCTCCCCAGTACTTGTAGTTCTCCGCCTTTGGTTGGAGCTCGAAATAAATGCTATATCCCTCTTCAAATTCCCCACATGGCAAACCAGTCACCTCTCCAAACTCAACCAAGAAAAACCGAAAGGGTTTTCCACCGAACACATGCCACATCTCAAACAACTTCTTCGTTACCACTTGTCTAGTCATAAGACTATGGACCACTTTTCCAGCAAACAACTGTCGTGCCGAAATCTTGAAAAGCCCTCCAAAACAAGAAGCCATCAACTCATCAAACTCTGGAGTCCCAACTAACGCGTCTCTTATTCTAAGAAGGAAATCCACCGACGAGTACACGTTAACCCTCTCGCTAGGGTAACGGTCCGTAGCAAATAGCCGCTCAGGCAACAACTCCTTCTTCTCCTCCGTAATCGCATCCGTCAACCCTGATACAAATGAAAAAAACATTATTTAAAATACAAAAAAAAACTCACAGAGGACATTAACACAAGGAGAAAGCTTCTTACCATCGACGGAATCTTTCCCCCGAGTGCTCCTCCTTCTAGCCATCGCTTTTACTCTCTTTCCACCTCACAATGAATCGGAAATCAACACTAGAAACAATTCCCCACTGTAATCGCTACTCTCGAACCTCGGTAACCGTGAACGAGAAAAAGAGAGAAATGGAAAAGAAGATGGAAAGTCTACTTTTTTTTTCTTCTAGTAACCGGTGCCTTCAATTAAAGGGGGACCCAATTTAATTTTCGAAATTTGAAATCCAAACGAGAAATAAAAAAACCAACTAAAAGAATGATCGCTTTTTATGTTTAGTTGAGGGCAAGTTAAGTCTTTTAACTCAAAAACTACCCAACCCGTGACAACTGCCTTTTCTTAATTAAAAAAACTCAATAACTGCCCTATATTGACAAAAACTCATCTTTCTATGTAGATCTGTCTTATCAATCTCCGATCCAAAGCTCAAAATATATATATTATGATGACGTCTATCTTTGGTTGTGTACTTCATTATGATGACAATTTGTTGACAATACCTAAACTGAGGAAGATTGTCATTTATCAGAATTGAACGGTTCTTCTTTGATCACTAAATATTTGATTTTACTTTTCAAGATTTTTGGGTGGTCAGAGTTTCCACATTCCTCATAAACTTTTTTGACGTTTAGGTTTTCATCTCCCCGTATTTATACCCGAGACTTCGTTGAGGATAAATTTCACCTTTTTTGCATAAGTTACCGACTTTTTTGTTCATATTATTAGATAAAAGATGAACTTTGTAATCTATACTATTATTTGCAAAGTGATTTTTCGTAACGGAGCTCTCACGTTAAAAGTTAGAGTGTTGTTTATACCCTTAATGAATAAAATATATAAATCAGCCAAAAATAAAAATGAATTTAATACTTATTTTATTAGATAAATGATTTAAATTAATGATCAGAATTATCCATAATTTAAATATATATTTAAAAGAAAAAGATAATTCTTATATATATTGTGTTGTTATCCGGAAAATATATTTAATTAAAAAAATTCAACAAAACACATAAATAAGTATTCATAAAATACAATTTTTAATTTGTATATAATTCAAAAGAGAAAATTGAAAAAAATATAATACGAAATTATTATTTGTGAAGTGATTTTTCGAAACGGATCTCTCACGTTAAAAGTTGGAGTGGTTAATATCGATTATACCCTTAATGAATAAATATATATAAATTAGCCAAAAATAAAAAAGAATTTAATACTTATTTCATTAGATAAATGATTTAAATTATAATAATGATAAGAATTATCCATAATCTAAATATATATTTAAAAGAAAAAGATAATTCTTATATATATTGTGTTGTTATCCGGAAAATATATTTAATTAAAAAATTCGAAAAACACATAAATAAGTATTCATAAAATAAAATTTTTAATTCTATATAAATCAAAAGAGAAAATTGAAAAAAATATAATACGAAATTATTTATTAAAAGAATATAATAATATAATAATATATGTATATATTTGTGAAGTTATTTTTTTAAACATGAATTAATCATATAAAATAAAAGATAATTAAAAAGAAAGAAAATGCGTGTTTGATAAAAATAAATTCAAATATATTGTATTATTATCTAAACTAATATTATTCTTTTTGTACGATTAATTATTGAATGTATATTTATCGATTCAATTTTTTCAAATGGAAAGATAGATTTCTATATTTTTTATCAATTAAGAAGAAATGAAATAGACTTTAGATTTTTCAAAGTTTTAAAGTAAAAAATTAGTTTTTTTTAATTTGTGAATAATTTTATCATGTAGAAAAGTGTAATGTTTTCAGTCAAATTTTTTGGATGCAAATAATTATTTATTATGATGATTTTAAATTGATTAAAAGATAATTAAGCCCGCATGTGCGGGCAAAACATCTAGTAGTATGGTATACAGACAATATTATTTGTATGTAGAAAAATGATGTTCATAGATATCCATAGCCACTACTCTCGTTAATGGGAGGGTAGGGCTTATACTTCATGAAAGTTCAAATAGAGTCCAGCCATAACCCGACAGGCCTTGCAAAATTTATTCTCTGTTTTGGGTCCAGCTTTAGGTCCATAAGATAGTATATAAATAAATATTCATAAAGTAAAATTTTAATTGTATATAATTGAAAAGAGAAAATTAATAACATTTCTAACACGTAAATATTTTCAAATTAAAAGAATATAATAATATAATATAATGATATATATGTGTGGAGTTATCCAAAATCTACTCCTTGATTTTTCAGACTTAACATCAAAAACTCACAACTTCACTAATCTGGCAAAAGCTACAAAACTATCAAGTAGAAGACACTGCCAGTGGCCTCTTACCAACAAGTATTTAGTTGTGGTCCTATTTGATAACAAATCCTCCAACTGCATAGGTGTTAACTTCTTCGCAGTTCCTACAAAACGTTTAAGCATCTTACAAGAATGCAACTTCTGATTCCTTAACAGAGAGCAATAACATGAGTCTTCACATACCTAATCTGCTAAATGCTGGTTGTTGAGCTAAAAGATATATGACTGCAAAAACGAAACATACAAATCAACATTCAAATCTTCATCTCCTATATATAACATATTCTTAGTGATTGAGCTCAAAAGATTGTTTTCTTCATACCTAAAAATATGACACAAAACCAGATCGCCACTCGATAATCCATAATCAACGTAACAGCGATGAGAAAGATCTGGAGCAAGATAATCAGTAACAGTTAGAGATTGAACAATCAATTTCAATCGGCATGTGGAATCAGTAAGAGTTATACCTTAGCATAGAGTAAGCTATCCGCGCCGAAGGCCTCCCATGTTTCCTCTCTAACCATCTATACAACGGATTTTGGAGCAATCGATGAAGCAAGGAAGTGAAGCAAGTAAGATCATACATGCAAATTTGATTGATATGAAGGGATAAACACGAACCTTAATAGCGGAGAACATGAGGAACGCTAGAAATGCTTGGATTTCTCTGTCGAGGAGTCGATGAGAAGTGTACTGTGCTGCGGAGTTGCGAATCGGGAGATATGAGAAAAAGGCCATGAGATGGAGGAAGTAGTAAGGATGTGTGTGGTTCCATCATTCAATTTTTTCGGTTTAAATTTATTTTTTATATTTTCTATAGTTACACATTAAACATAAATTAATCATAATAAAATAAAAGATCATTCAAAAAGAAAGAAAATACGTTTTTGGAAAAAATAAATTTAAATATATTTTATTATTATCAAAATTAATATTATTCTGAATGTATATTTATCGATTCAATTTATCAAATTGAAAGATAGGTTTCTATATTTTTTATCAATTAAGAAAAAAATGAAATAAACTTTAGAGTTTTTCAAAGTTTTAAAGGAAAAAATAGATTTTTTTTTTTCATTTGTGAATAACTTTATTATGTAAATTTTTTTAATGTTTTAGGTCGAATTTTTTTAAATGAAAATAAACATTTATTTTGATGATTTTTAAATTGACTTAACGATAATTAAGCCTGTATCTGCGGGCAAAACACCTAGTTAGTTTGTAATTAGAGTGTCCAAATCCTTATAGATATACATTGTTAGATACGGTAAGGATTAAAGGCAACAACCTATCTATACTATTATATAAGAACTAAATTTGCTTAGTTGTCAACTTCTCCTTGATTTTATGTAAATTTTCTTATTTATCTTAGTTGTCAACTTCTCTTTGATTTTAGGTAAATTTGTTTATTTACATTATTTAAATAATTTCATATACAATTTATTATTTAATATTTAAGTTAATAATATTATATTTTAGAAAATATGTTGATTATTTTGTCTTAAATTGTTATCTTAAAAATATATATTTTCTATTATAAAATTCAAGTGAATATACTGATTAATTTGTAACTTTTCCATGGTTTTTATAATATTTCTTCTTTGTTATATTTTTAATATTTTTATGAATAATTTATCATATAATAAAACAAATTTCTATTAATACTATTATATTTTTAGAAAATAAGATAATTCTATACTATTATATAAGAAGTAAATTTTCTTAGTTGTCAACTTCTCCTTGATTTTAGGTAAATTTGTTTATTTACCTTATTTAAATAATTTCATATAAAATTTATTATTTAATAAAAAGAATTTAAGTTAATCATATTATATTTTAGAAAATATGTTAATTATTTTGTATTAAAATGTTATCTTAAAATATATTTTTGTATTAAACAAATCAAGTGAATTTACTGATTAATTTGTAACTTTCCATGGTTTTTGTAATTTTTATTTTTTGTTATATTTTAGTAGTTTTATATGAATAATTTATCATATAATAAAACGAATTTCTATTAATAATATTATACTTTTAGAAAATAAGATAATTCTTATGTATTTTATTGTTATCTTTCAAATATATATTTTTATCAAAGAAATTAAAAATTAAGTGAAAATATTAATAGTTAAATACAAAGAAAGCAATGCTGATTTATCAAATTTTCCATGGTTTTATATTTTGCTTATTTATCATATTTTAATAATTTCATATATAATTTATTAAATAATAAAACGAATGTATGCTAGATCTAAAAAAAGATAATTCTTATGTATTAGACTGTTATCTTGAACATATATTTTCTATTAGAAAATTTAAGTGAACTATCTGATTTGTAATTTCTCCATGATTTAGATAATTTTGATTATTTTTCATCTTTTTAATAATTTCATATAAAATTTATTATAAAATAAAAACGAATTTCTATTAAAATTATAATTTGAGAAGATAAGATACTTCTTATGTATTATATTGTTATCTTGAAAATATATTTTTTATTATAGAAATAAAAAATTAAGATAGAAAAAATTATAATTAAAGTAAATTAAAGCAACACAATTGTAAAAATAGATTTTTAAAAATATTTTGTTATGTGAGTGTTGTCATTTATAATTAATTTTAAAACATAAATCATAACTTATTATATTGGTTTGAATTAATAAAATATAGACTAATAATAAATTGTACGAAAGTTATGCCCACATGTGCGGGCAAAACATCGAGTTGTATATATACTTGATGATATGTTAATAAGAAAGAAACACGTTCTAGTCATATTCACAAGGTATCAGAGTTTCTAGGTCAAAAATAAAGATCTAAAGTTTAGTTTTTCGTTTGGTTTCGAGTGCAATGGGTGAAAGTAAGACGGGTTCTAGCGAATCATCGAAAGAGTTGGTATCAAGAACCGATGAGAAGATGGTGGTGTCACCATACTCGTTATTTGCATCAGAAAATCCTGGTGCGATGATTACCTCAGTTCAATTAAAAGGAGAAAACTACAATGAGTGGTCTATGGAGATGATGAATGCATTACGTGCAAAGAAGAAGAGTGGGTATATTCATGGAACGTTGTCTCAACCTAAAGAAGGAGACGAGAATCTGGAGTCATGGCTAAGTGTGAATTCAATGATAGTGGGATGGATTCGCACGTTCATTGAGCCTCGAGTCAGATCTACAGTGACATTCATTAGTGATGCTCACAAGTTGTGGGAAAATCTGAAGCAACGATTTTCAGTGGGTAACAAGGTAAGGGTGCATCAACTTATGGAACAACTTGCATCCTGTTGACAGAATGGAAAATCAGTCATTGAGTATTATGGAAAATTGGCAATAAAGTGGGAAGAGATGCAGACATATAGACCTTTACCACCATGTACTTGTTCAGCGGCTCAAATCTATGCTAAGGAAAAAGAAGATGAACATGTACATCAGTTTATTATGGGACTAGATGAATCCTGATTTAGGAATGTGGTGAACTCCCTAATCGAAGCTGATGAGTTACCAGATACTGGTAAGGTCTACGCTAAGGTGATTCGAGAAGAAGCGAGACTGGAATCAGCTAAGAATAGAGAACAAACACAAGATGCTGTTGGTTTTGTGACACGACGGGAAACGGAATATCACAACACAAACATTGGACGTAGAGATGCATCAGGAGGTGATTTCACGACTGGAAACAAAGGAAGATATCGTGTTTGCTCTCATTGTGGGAAAAATTGTCATGAGAAACGCTTTTGTTGGCAGCTTATTGGATATCCAGAGTGGACAAAAGAGAGAAGTGGAAGTCGTGGTGGCCGTGGTTTCAACAGAGGAGGTGGTCGTGGAAGAGGAAGAGGTTCTACAGCTAATGTCGCTCATGCTTTAGCCGCTTCTACTGTTGCAGACCTCACTCCTGGTCAGATAATTCAAGAACGACAATGTTGTTCCTTTGAGAAGCTGTCTGGTAAGATACTTGGTGATATATTTATTGATACATGGGCGTCTCATCATATGACTAGAAATCGTTCACTGCTGGCTAATATGAAAGAAACTTCACCTTGTAATGTGGGGTTTGCAGACGAAAGTGTGACGATGTCATACAGTATGGGAGAAATGGTGTTGTCTGATTGTTTGACACTACAAGATGTGCTGTTTGTACCGGATCTAAATTGTTCACACATCTCGGTTTCAAAAATCATAAAGTACATGAATTGTTTTGCATTGTTTACTGATGCGGTTTGTGTGTTACAGGACCGTTCAACGAAGACTATGATTGGAGCCGGTGAGGTGCGTGATGGGGTGTATTACTTCAAGGATGTTAAGGTCGCACGAGTCAACAAAACTGGTGAGAATTTCAATCACGATTTGTGGCATTATAGGCTAGGACATCCGGATGTTTCTGTGCTTTCTTCTCTACCTATGTGTTCTGGTGTTTTAGATAAAGCTAGCTCTAGTCCGTGTCGTGTGTTTTAGAGCTAAGCAGACAAGGGATTCTTTTTTCAGAGTTTGAATAAAGAAGAAGTTTGTTTTGGTTTAATACATGTTGATGTTTGGGGTCCATACATAGTACCAGCGTCAAGTGGTGCAGTGATTTTTTTTACTATTGTAGACGATTTCTCTAGAGCGTTATTGACCTATTTACTACTTGAAAAATCTGAGGTTCAGAAAGTGTTGAGAAATTTATGTGCTTATACTGAAAGACAATTTAATAAATTGGTGAAAGTTGTGACAAGTGATAACGGAACAAAATTTATGTGCTTGATCTCTTTCTTTGGAGAGAAAGGAATACTCCATCAAACTTCCTGTGTTGCAACTCCACAGCAAATGGGAGAATGGAGAGGAAACATATGCACATCTTGAATGTAGCTAGAGCATTGTTGTTTCAAGAAAGCTTACCAATAAAGTTTTGGGGAGAAGCAATCTCGACCGCAACACACCTGACAATCTAACTTCTTCGAAGATTTTGAAAGGGTTGACGCCACATGAGTTTTTTTTGGGTCAAAAACCTTCTTTTAGTCATCTTAGAGTTTTTGGCTCCTCGTGTTATGTTCATAGAAATGCAAGGGATAAAGATAAATTTGGAGACAGAAGTAGAAGTTGAATTTTTGTTGGTTATCCGTTTGGCAAGAAAGGCTGGATGGTTTATGACTTGGAAAGAAATGAGTTATTTGTCTCACGGGATATAGTTTACAAGAGGATGTGTTTCCAATGGCTAAAGAAGATAGCAAGCACAAGGATGTTGGAAACAATGGTGAATGTTTGGACGAAGATTGGAGGCTCAACTCTGAAGCTTTTGTTGAGAACGATGAAGCTGGTTTAGTGGACAGGGAGAGTTTGAAAGAAGTCGTTGATACAATTGGTGAAACGAGCATGGCAAACAAGGGAAGTTCTAGTGAAGAAACTCCATCGTCTGCAACCATGAGCAATAATGAAGCAGGAGGTGTGATAGAATCGGTTGATCTAGAAGATGTAGAAACTGCTATACAAAAACCAGTAGCTGAGAATGCTCTAGTGATCACAACTGAAAACATAATTGAAGAAGAGGTTTTAGCTAATACTGAGTTAGACAGAGGACACCGAAAAAAGATTGTACCTGCAAAGTTCAAGATTAAAAGTTGTATGCTAGTTGCAACCCCCATCACACACTCATCGTGCCTCCATCAGAGTCTGCAACAGTTCCAGGTAATAATACACCATATCTACTTGAGAACTATGTTACTGAAATAAGGTTTGCATCTGCACTGTTGGGGTCGAAATCGGTT